CTAAATTACTTAAATAAAAACAAACTAAAAGGTAATTAAAGTAAGATCAAAATTGATATTGGTTCTAGAAAACAGATGATGAAATAGGCTTCCCTCTTGTTAGCAATGAGTTGGGAGTAAAAAACTACATATAACCAGTGATGTATATTCTAAACAGAATTGGTCACTATCGTGGTTGATTTTGCTGACTATGGATCTTTGTTACTATCATGTAAAGTACAAAAGATGTCAATAAAATTTAAAAAATAAACTCTTGTCACTTTACCAATATGTACTGTCAACCATGACCATCACAGAAACATTAAGTAAAATCTTGTTATATTAAATTTAAAAAAAAAGAATGTAACTTTAAGAATATTTATCCTCAGCATTTGGTAAAGCACTTTGTATATAGTAAACATTTAATAACTTTTCTGTTCATTAATTCTCATAACGCAATCATATGTCACACAATTCTAGATACTACAGGCTCCAGAAGTCCTTTCTCTCTTTGGAGTGTCTTCACATAGCTTCACTCGGGTGTAACATCGCTGCTGGGTGTGCTGCTCAGCAGGGCTTCCAGGGGCTGCCCCCTATCCCCTGTCCACTCTCACACCCAGGCCCCAGGTGACTTCCTCTGTATCTGTTTCTACGATTGGTTTGAGTTTCTTCTTCTGCCTAGGTGTACTCTTTCTGACTGGTCCAACAGCTCCATTGTCATGGCCGATCTTGAGTGAGAAAGGAAAGTCCCCTCTTCTTCCTTTAAAAAGTCTGCCCCACCAAGTACCAATGAGCCTCCATTCCTTAACTTCTGAATCTTTTTTCCCCATTTATAGGCCCAAGGGGAATGACTGATTGTCTTAAATAGTTATTAAACATTTCCTGTTCAGTGTCACTTGTCATCCAATAGCGAAGCTCCTTAAATCTTGTCAAGGTAATTTAGGAACTGATTTTCCCATTGTGAGGTTGTGAGAAAATTCATTAACAGCTGCTTGATAGTTTGTGCTGACACGCTGGGCCTTCTGTGACTGACATCAACTGGGGCGGGGAGGGAACTGTTTCCCTTAGAGAATAATTGCCAATAAATACAAGGTAATTTGACGCAAGATAGTTGGTAGTTGGGTAGGAGGAGAGCCAGGGCACAAGCTGTGGTGAAGATCAGGAAAGGTCTCCTGCACAAACTTAGGGTTTGATCTGTGTCTTGAGGAAAAGGAGGGATTCACTTTGTGGGGTGGAGGGAAGGAGGAATACATACCAGACATGGGGGACAGCCAGTGCAAAGGCAGGGAGATGAGATAGGATGCCAGCTGTGAGGAGCAGTGAGAGAGAAGAGATAGAAGGCCAGTTTGGCCTGGTCATAATGTATGGGAGTGGGAGTGCTTTATTATGAGGCTAGAATGATGATGTATGTTTTTATATTATAGTAATCTTTCATTACATTAATAGGCCACAAATTGTTTATCCATAACCAAATTGATGGGAATTTACTGTGTTTCTGTTTCTTTGCTACCACGATAAAGTGCTACTCTAAATATCTGGCTATATAGAGAGAATTTCTTACCAATGACTACCTTGGGTATAAACTTTGTAGTGGATTTTCTGGGTCAAGGAATAGGAGATTTTTATTGTTTTATTTGCATAATTCCAGAACACTTGTACTGATTTACAACTTTACCAACAATGTACTCATTTATCCATGTTCCTATGCATAGCTCTTTTCATATGGAGTTTTCTGAGGCTGTTGCATTGTGAATGTAATTTCCCTTTCTACTGTTTCCTCCTGGATGTTGTTGCTACATAGAAGTGCTGACGCTTTTATAAATGTCTTTTGTATCTTGATTTTGAATCGGTCAAAGGACCAAACTTGAGGACCTAGAGGGCCACATGTGGCCACCAGGCCGCAGGTTCCCCACCCCTGTAATCTAGGACATCTCTCCCAGGCCTAAAAAGACAGAAGGAGCAAAAGCAGGAACAGTGGCAGTGTGCTCAAGCCCTTGCACAAACACTGATACGTGAGCATACATGCACATACACAGCTCTCCCTCTCCACTAGCAGCTGCAAGCATAACATGCATGTCCTCAGGAGACTCTCTGCGGTTTCAAAACACAGGGCTTTCTGGGAGGAATGGCAGAACAAGCTGAATGTACAGTTACCACCCTGCCCAGAGGACCACAGCATAGTATGTGGAAAACCAGCTTCTTAAAAACAGATCACAAGGGCAGAGTTTCAAAAGCTGTTCCAGACAGGCAGACTGCGGAGCCTCGAATCCTTCCTTCCCCACAAACAAATCCTTTCCCCTTCTCATTCCCTAAGACCCTGATCTGGTGTGAGTGTTCCCCACTTGGCTTTAGAAACTTTAAAATGTTGCAATGCAAGGACAGGAGGAGGTGGGCAGGCAATCTGCTCTAAGCCTGCTCCCACTCCCCAGGCTTTACTTATTGTCTTTCTCCTCATTTTACTGGTTACCCTTTTGATAGAATTGTTGTTGTATGTTCATACAGGAAGAACCCACAACTCAGAAAAACCAAATCTAGTTTGGAAAATGCTATCAAGTTTTCAAGTCAGGTGCAAAAGCCTTCTTGCTACTATCAAGCCTTTCTCTCCCACTAAACACCACCCCCCAAAAAAGAAAGAGAAAAGAAAAAAATGAGTCGAATAAAAGTACCAGTAATAGAAACAAGCTGAGTCAACTCAACAATTCTCCATTCTGAGTTCATCCCCAAAGGTTAGTTCATTAAGATAAAACATGTGCTAAGGAGGCCAAGTGGAAGGTGTAACTCCTATTAAAAAGCCAGTTAACATTGCACAGAAGAAAATACAACAGCTCTGTTCCAAAGGTGTGCTACTAGTCACACAGCAGGCAGGCTAATGAACTCTGGGTGGCTCAGTGCAAGTCAGCCCCACTGATTACAAGTTAAAGATGATGTTCTACTGAAGCTTCAGTAGTGTAGTTTGTCTTTAAAGGGTGTGCATTCAACCTCATTAGCCTGAGGGTATCTAATCCTCAGCCCCAGGAGGCCTTTGTTTGCCAGGCAACCGTCCTCAAACCACCCAGATCCACAGCCTAGAGTTGTGTTGGACATTTCCCCAAAAAGGAACCCCATCTTTTCCCTTTGCCTTCCTGCCCCTGCTCCCCACCCCAAGTTCATTGATGTCTGTCTCTGGGGCTGTGGCTCTCAGGCTCTCAGCTTGCCCTCTCCTTGCCCATCAGCCTGCTGGGCTCACTTGCTGCCTTCTGGGCTCACCAAGATGCCCTCTGTGGGTCGGTATACAAGCCACTTCAGGTGGCCCTGGGGTTAGAGCAGGCTGGTGGTCAAGGACTCCAGGGAGATCGAGTCCCTTCTGCCTCAGCCTCCTGCACAGCGAGGGGCAAAGGTGCAGGAGGGCCTGGTGTTGGGGGCACTGCCTAGGTCTCCGGGAATGGAGTGGTCACAGGGCCCCCCAAAAGGACGAGCTGCTTCAGAAGATGGTGAGGGTCATCCTCTTGGGCCAGAGTCCTAGCTGCTCTCCGTACTGCTACTGGTGATGCTGCTGGTGGTGCTAGGGGCTGCTCTAGCCTAGGGCCCCCCTCTGGGATCTGGAGGTGAGTTTTAAAATTGCATCATCTGCTCATGAATCTTTTCTTTTTGGTATGTTGTTAATTTATACTGTATGAGATATGTTTCCTTTGAGGACTCTTTTAGCTGTATCCCTGCAGTGTGGGTAAGAAGCCTCAACTTTTTTCACCTTCTTTCACAGAATGAATTCATTCTTTTGGTGATTTATTCTTTGACCCTCTCATTACTGAATATGTATCCTCACTGACATCTTTATCTTTTGTTTACATTATTATTGTATGTAAAGGATGTGGTTCATGTATCTTCTTTTCTAATATTTATTCCTACTCTTTTTATTTGACTTTGTATGTCAAGTCATATCAAGGCTCCATTCAGGTCTCTAGGGTTGTTTGTATTCCTGATATTAACTGTTTTTCTGTTATTGTATGAGAAAGATGTATTTAACATGCCTTTTTTTTCAAATCTATTTATTCAGAACATCTCAATTCCCTTGTTTTTTGTTTTTTGGGTTTTTTTAGTTTTTTTGGTATTTTTTTTTAAGCAATTGGGGTTAAGTGACTTGCCCAGGGTCACACAGATAGTAAGTATCAAGTGTTTGGTCTGAGGCCGGATTTGAACTCAAGTCCTCCTGACTTCAGGGCTGGTGCTCTATATGTGCCACCTAGCTGCCCCTCCCTTGTTTTTTGTAAAGGTACCTTGAGGTGCTTCTGATGTCTGTTCTTTAATAGAATTAATAATTCAGAAGATATGATCACAAGTCTTTCAAACCTAACATCTCCAACAATCATCTCATGCCTGTACTTTTATTTTTCTTTCTCTCTCTTTTTCAGGTTTATCCAGCTTTGAGAGAGGATATTTAGATTCTACTACCCTGGTGATGTTGTAGCTGAGTGATGGGGTAATTCAGTTCAATCTTTCCTTATAAATTTAGATTCTAGATTCTTTGGAGCATATATATTTAGCACTGATGTTTTTCATTGCCTGTATTGCTTTTAAGCAAAATGCAGTGTACTTGTTTATCGGTCAATTGTGTTTTGTCTAAAAGCATCTTACTTTTTTTTGGGGGGGGGTGAGGAATCTCACCTCATACATATTTTTTCCAGGCCTCTGGTTTTCAATCTAAATATACCTTCATTTTTCAGATGTTTCTTTATGTGGCAAATTGTTAGATTTTCTGTAGCTTTTTAAAAGTCTCATTGCTTAATTTGTTTGCTCTTAAGTTTATGATTATTAGGCCAGTATTTGTCACCATTTCTCTCCCTGCAGTGGGTGTTCATCCTGTCCCTTACTGGAATACTGTGATTCATTTTGCTTCTAGTATATTTACACACTAATCTGTTCCCAGAAGCCTCCTCCCATGTCTCCTCCTCGACTGTTTGGTTCTTTTTATGTTTTGTTTTGTTTTGGTTTTTGTTTGCTTTTTTTTTTGCCTTTACCTACATTCTTTTTTTCTCCCACACTTTCAAGCCTTCTCTTTCTCACCCCACCCTCTTAAATAAAACTTTGTGGACTTACCCTTTTATAAGAAGTTTTCCTTTGTGTTTTTGGCTTCCCTTCTAGTTTCTGCTGAATTTTATTCTCCATTTCATGAATTTTATACCATAAGGTGGCACCGTGGAACTGTTGCTAAGCCTTGATTCAGGAAGATGAGTTCAAATATGATTTCAGACACGAGGTCCTTGGTGAGTCATTTAAACTGTTTGCCTCTGTTTTCTCAATTGTAAAATGGAGATAATAGCAAGTATTTTCCAGGATTGTTGTAAGAATCAAATGAGGTATTTGTAAAGTGCTTTCTTAGCACAGTGCCTGACACATAGGAGCTTAATGCTTTTTTTCTTTCTGTCCTTGCTGTTCCTTTATTCTTTGCATCCTACATGAATAAGCCTCAACATTGAGCTCCCTGTTTTATCTCCTTTTTCAGTTATCACATTTATCTTTTTTCTGCTACACCTCATTCTTGGAAATATACATTAATGAACGGAGTGATGTCCAGTGGAAGCAATGTCTTATGGCAGGGGTCCCATGGTCCTGAGTCATGAGGCTGTCAGCATTCACCTATTGCTATGCCCTAGCTAGCAATAGTGCTTCCCTGGTTGACCCCGGTTGACCCACTGGGCCATCTCCAGTCGTCCTGATCTATATCTGGCCACCGGACCCAGATGGCTCCAGAGGAGATATTGAGGCTGGTGACCTTGCACAGCCCTGCCTCACTTACATCCAATTCCCTTGCAAGTCATGGCATCGTCTTACGTCATGGTCCTCCTCAAGAACAAAGGACAAACCGTAGCCACGACAACAGCTGATTGGCTCACTTCTGCATTGTGAAGTTCCTTTGTACCCAACTGCATACAGGCTGAGTCAGCTACATCAAGGCTCAGGAAGGATAGGTTAGCAGGCTATTGGTTTAGCACACTTCCTCTAAAACCGGTGTGTCAGGTTAAGAAATGTTGCTAAATGGTGTCTTTAGGGATAAGGGGAGTAGAAGACCATACATGCTGATGAATTGTTCCTGCTCCCTTCCCCCACTCAGTTCCCATCAATGCCCTCAGACATAATGGTAGAGATCCAGGACATCTGGGCTCTACATCTGGGTACGAAGGCTGCTGTGCACCCAAACCACTATTATCACGGTGTTCCTGTGGGTGCACCGCCCCTATTGACAGGCCTGTGAGTAATTAATAACCTGTAAGTGCCTACGTCCCTTCTTAATATCTCCTCTCCTACAGCTCCCTCACAGAGGAGCCTGTCTTCTCCCTGACTTCTGACCACTGCTAAGGGCAGGTTATCTTACCTCTGCTTGTCTCCACACCACCTTGGGTTCTTGCTGCCCTTTGGAACTCATATGTACTCTTCTCCTAGGGGAAGGTGCTAACTATTCATGGGCTCTGAATTCTCTCCAAACCATATGGCTAAGAGCTCCTCTGATATGATTTTGAGCAGGATTATCATACAATACACTTATATAAAGAAAATGTTTTAATTAAATCATAACATTTAACATAATTTTCATTCTGCCCCTAGCCTCCCACAATACAATTTTAGTTCACTATCCAGCAAGACAGAGGGATGAGGGGATAGAACAAAAATGTATGCAGATATCTGGTCATAGGAGGAATTTTTGTGGCAAAGTAGCTGTTTGGAGAGATGCTTATGCATCCCTTTAAGAAACATGCATGAAGGGGCAGCTAGGTAGTGCAGTGGATAGAGTACCGGCCCTGGATTCAGGAGGACCTGAGTTCAAATCTGGCCTCACACACATAACATTTACTAGCTGTGTGACCCTGGGCAAGTCACTTAACCCCATTGCCTAGCCAAAAAAACAAACAAACAAATATGCGTGAAGATACCTCTTCTAGATCTGTATTCTAAAGAGATCATAAAACTGGGAAAAGGACCCACATGTACAAAAACATTTGTAGCAGCTCTTTTTGTGGTGGCAAAGAATTGGAAATTGAGGGGATGTCCATCAACTGGTGAATTACTGAACAAGTTGTGGTATATGAATGTAATGGAATACTACTGTGCTATAAAAAAAAATGATGAGCAAGTGGACTTCAGAAAAACCTGGAAAGATTCATATGAACTGATGCTGAGTGAAATGAGCAGAACCAGAACACTGTACACAGTAACAAGCACATTGCATGATGACTGCTTTTGATAGACTTAGCTCTTCTCAATAATGCAAGGATCCAAGACAACTCTGAAAGACTCAGTGGCAAATGCCATCCACATCCAGAGAAAGAACTTTGGAGTCTGAATGCAGATGGAAGCTTGCTATTTGTTCTCCTTTTCTTTTGTTGTTTTATTTTGTTTCTTCTTTCTCGTGGTTTCTCCCATCAGTTCTAATTCTTCTTTATATCATAACCAATGTGAAAATATATTTAATATGAATGTATAAGTAGAGCCTATATTGCATTGCACTCCATCTTGGGAAGGGAGGAGGAGAGGGAGGAGGAGAAAGTTTAAAACTCAAAATCTTATAGAAGTGAATGTTAAAAACTAAAAATATAAATAAATATATAATGTTTTTTAAAAAAGAATGTCAACTCCTTGAAAGCAAAAAAAAAAGAAAAAAGAAAAAAAGAAATATGCATGCAGGCCTAAGTTATCTTTTTGGTTACTAGAAAACTGCATTTCTTAGAGACATCATATGACTTCTCTTTGGGCCTGACCTACCTTGAAGTTTCTTGGCCATATTTCTCCTCCTGGTCTACTTGCTGCCCTCATTCCCTGGGATATCCCCACTGTACCCAGGTGTTTTTCTTCACTCTAGCTGTTCTCAACTCTGGCTATCTTGAGGGGCTACCTGATTTCTCTGTACAGCATCCACCAGGTTTCTAATTATTCACCAGCTCTTTGAGACAGCCACACTCTCTACTGGGAATAGCTGTGGTTCAAAAGCCATGTCTGCCCTTCTTTGGAGAACCTAGAACCCCAAGTCTGCCCTAGGCTCTTTCAGGCTATTTCTGTCCCTCAGCTATACTCTTTAGCTGAGGTACCAGGGTCTGGGCCAAATATTACCTTTTGTTTGTTTCCTTATTTCCTGGCAGTGCCCTAATCAGTAAGTTTCTATCTGGGGGAGAGAGAAAGAAAAAGAGATGGAGAGATAGAGAGACAGAGAGACAGAGAGAGATCTACAGCTCTTGATAGCAGTCATTCTCTTCTCACCATGTCTTTTTTCTGCCTTCTTTCTCTGTTGTCCCTTAAGGGGGGGAAATTACCACCTGTCAAATTACATGGGATAACCATAAATATATTTCTGATATCTATCATTACCATGAAAAAAAATCAGAAATTAACATATACCTTATTGATAATTATACTGTACTTACACGTACACTTCACAGTCACATGATATTGGCGTGTTGTCAACATGACCAGATCCCAGAAACAGTATGTCCATTATGGAATCAAAAGCAAAAAAAGGTACATATGCAGAGTTAGAAGAAAACACAAGTCCCCTCAATGCATCGGCTTGCTATCTTCACATTCTAATCTTATACTTGTATATGACCCAACCTCTGTAAGTCCCCTCACGGTTCTTCAAGGGTTCTTAGCTGGAATAATGGGCAGGAAAGGGATAGCTCTGGGCTCCACTGATCTACATCGTCTATACCCAGGTCTCCTTGGAATGGAGTGATTTGAATTCCTTGACGCTGAAGAAGGTAGTGCCACTCAAAATCTTCATGTGAAGCATCATCTTCCACAGGTAAGCTGGCTCTTCTCCTAAAAGTCCAATTTGCAATTTTTTCCTCTCCTTTTGCTTAATGAGAAGTTGAGTTATAGATTATTTCAATGAATTACATTTGGGGGTCCCTAACATTGTCTGGCAACTCGGTGGCACAATGGATAGAACTCCAGGCCTAAAATCAGGAAGGCCTGAATTCAAATCCAACCTCAGATACTCACTAGCTGTGTGATCCTTACTTGACCCTGTTTGCCTTAGTTTCCCCATCTATAAAATGAGGTGGAGAAGGAAATGGCAAACCACTCCAGTATCTCTGCCCAAGTGGAATCACAAAGAGTCATACACTGCTGAAAAGACTGAATAAGGACACAAAAAGCATTCTCTAAGCCAACTATAAACAAAACTGGACTGTTTCTTAAGTCTTTCTATAATTTGATATGAAGTCACTTTCCAATGGTCTTCTCCCTTGTCTTCCTCACACAATGAGGTCTCTTAGAACTCGAGAGAGAGAGATTGTAGCAATGAACCTAAGCATCATCTTTTTTGTTGTTTTCATGAATGAAATCTGTTCCACAGTATAATATCATACTCTATTTTCCAACTTCCACATTGGTGATTCTTTTCTATTATTGAAATGTGATCATGGCTTTTAGTTACTCTAATAATTCTTAGGTTATCTCTCCTTGATCTGTTTTCCAGGTAAATTGTTTTTTCTGGTAATGTATTTCACATTTTTCTTGTTCTTTTAGCTTTTTTTTTTTTAATATTTCTTGATGTCTCATGCAGTCATTAGTATGCATTTGTCCAATTCTAATTTTAACAGAATTGCTTTATTCAGTGAACTTTTTTACCTCTTTTTCAATTTTGCCAAGTATGCTTTTTAAGGCATTATTTTCATCAGTGGAGTTTTACACCTTTTACCATTTGGCTGTTTAAGGTGTTATTTTCTTCAGTTTTCAGTGTATGCTTATGCCCTTATGCCTCTTTTCCCACAATTTTTCATAATTTTCTTACAATGTTCTGGTTTCTTTTCCCAAATTTTCCTCTACCACTCTTATTTGATTTTTAAAAACAATTTTTTTAGCTTTTCCAGGAATTTTTGTTGGATTTGTGTCCAATTCACTTATTTTTTTCCTTCAAGGCTTTGCTTGAAGCTGTTATGACATAGTTTTCTTCTGAGTTTGTGTCTTGATATTCCTTGTCATTACAGTAGCCTATTATGGTCAGATTCTCTTTTTTTGTTGTTGTTTGCTCATTTTTTTCCAGTCTATTTCTTGAATTTGAACTTCATGTTAAAGTTGGGCTCCCAGGATGGAGGTGAGCACTGTCCCAAGCTTTAGGCTTTTTTTGTGCTGCTATTTTCAAATTTAGTTCTGGGGGTTTGGAAGTTTTTGGTGCTTCCAAAGTGATGTTATCTGAAGAAAGGTGTGGTTACTGCTGTCCTGGTCTGCATCCAGTTCTTACCCAGGAAGAGCCCCTCATCCTTTGTAGTCTCAAGTACTATAGCTCCTCAGGTCCCCTGCTCCCTTGGCATTAAAAGTGCTCTTTCTCTTTCTGGAACTGTGACCTGGAAGTGGGTATAAGTCATGGAGCTGCCAAACAGCACCTAGTCCTGCACCCAATGTTAGCAGAGGGGTCCCCTGTAATGTCTTTCTGATCATTCACTGATCCCCATACTGTCTTTAGCTTGGGAGCTCTCAAAGCTGTTTCTGCTGCTGTTGCTGCTATTACCCAGTCCAAGGACCCATGTGTTGCTATCACATGGTCTCCAGGGAAGTTCTCCCCACCCAGTGTCACAGATCTCTCCTTCTGACCTTTTAAGTTGTCTTGGGCTAGAAAAACGTCTCACCTTGACCTTTTGTTGGTTCTGCCTCTCCAGAATTCAATTTGAGGTGTAACTTAAAAGTTATTTGGAGGAGAATGTTGGGAGAGTTCAGATGTAGTGCTTTCTCTACCATCCTGGCTCTGCTTCCTGGTTGGTCTTTCAATAGTCAAGTACCCTCTTTGGGGAATGAAGCAGGAGATCCTGAGTGCCATGCCAAGAATCGATGACTCTGACGCATTCTGGTAGCTCTTCATAAGCCATTTCCTCTGCCATTTATCCACAAACCGCCAAGTCAAGGAGGATAGTTTCAGTATAACAAAGTGTACATTTTCATGATGCCAGCAACAGGATCTATAGGGTGTGGAAGGACTCTTACACCTGGATGAATGGCTTCATTTCCCCAGAGTAGGTCCTATGGCCATAATCTTCTGTTCAACCAATTTTGCATTTTCCTTTTAAATTTGTCCCACATGCACATATCATCAATTTTACATTTGAGGTCTTTTTTTCTTTCTTTAATGTGTGCACATTTATTTGAACCAATCTTAAATCTGTCTAAAGGCTCCTAGCCTCCCCCAAGTACTGACAACAATCTCATAGAGCTCCTGGGGAAACTATAAAAAGCTTTCATTCCCACTTACATTGGGAGAGGGGGCCATTACAACTCTGAAATGTTTTTAAAGAGAAACCAGTATGAAGGTAGGATCTACAAAAAAAAATTTTTTTAAGGATTATGTAATTTACATGGAAGCAATACTACTTCCGTGCTCTTTACCCCTCCTCCACCCAGCCCCTTCTCTGCATTTCTTGAACGGCTCATTTGTGTACTAGATGGCAGACTTCATAGAGGCAAGTAACATCCCATAACTATATGTTGTATAATATTTAAAATGACTCTTTTTAAAAAAAGTACAATCTAGTTTCCTGGAGATACACGTGAATTTTGGGGCTGTTTGCCTCTAACGCCTACAGAATGCTCATCTCAGTTTAAAAACTTCGTTTTAATATCCTGAGTCAACCACCCAAAACCAACCAAACAAAAAGCCTTGCCAATCTGATTTCTTTTTGGGGAGCAAGTATGTCACAACCTTTTACAACAACAACAAAAACCAACAACGTTGCGTTTAGAAACATTTGCAAAGGACAATGAAGGGCTCAGATTCATCCAGAGCCTCCAGTCCACACATGATATTTGTGCTCAGGTGGGGCAGTGATCTCAATTTTTCATAGTGCTAGGGCTAGGATTGTAATCTCTTCTTGCATCATGTCAGCAGTGCCTGGGTACAGAATTGTACCAGCAGACAATATGGTATGGGCACAGAGACCCTCATGAGTATCAACATCACATTTCATGACTGAGATGAAGGTAGTTTCTTGGATTCTGCAGGATTTCATCCATAAGAAAGATGGTTGGACATGAGGTTTTGGAATACCTGAACCTCTCATTACAAATTATAGGTGATAACCTGGCCATCAGAAAACTTGTAATTGTTATCTAGAGAAGAGCTTGATGTAGCAGTGTCCTTTTCCTGCCTGAAGTCTAGGGCAATGGAATACAGCTTTTCTCCTGAATGTCATGCAAAATTTTCTTCTCAGCTATAGTAGTATAGCTATCACCTTTCTCAGGAACACCTCCATGAATTAGTCCCTCATGTCACAGCCAGCCAGATCCAGATGGAGGATGGCATGGAGAAGAGCATAACATTCATACACAGGTGTAGTCCCACCATTTCTGTAGTCCATCAAAATACCAGAGGTACAGTCAGAGGCACAGAGGGCCATCACAACCTGGATGGCCACACACATGGTTGGGGTGCTGAAAGCCTTAAAATTCTTTTCTCTGTTGGCTTTGGGGCTCAGAAGGGCTTCTGTGAGTAGCACAGGGTGCTCTTCGGGGGCCACAGAGAGCTCCTGGTAGAAACTGCGGTGCTAGATCTTTTCTATGTTGACCCAGTAGGTGACAATATCATGTTTGGAGATACTTTAGGGTCAGAATCTTGCTCTGGATCTCATCCCCCACAAAGCTGCCTTCCTGGCTTTTACCCACGGCTGTACAATAATGTCTGGGGTGCTCAACAGTGGAGGAGAATACAGCACCATGGCCTGCAAAGCCAGCTTTGCATATTCCAGAGTCATTATCAACAATAAGGGCAGCAGTATCATCATCCATGGAAAACACTGAAGTGGCAACGCCCTTCAGAGAGAGAAGAGGGTGCCACACCTTGAGGCAGAAGGGGAGGCAGGTGCAGGTGCAAGAGCTCACAGCTTCTATACTACATGTGAGGTAGTTGATAGCTCTGCCAGTCGAATTCGAGATTCCAGCCTATTTGTTCTCTGGTCTCACAATTCTTGCTTTTTCCAGAAGGGGCGATAATAGTCAGAGTTGCGCTCATTTCAGCAGACTTCCATTGAGCACCATAGGCTTTGATATGGCAAGATACTTTGGAAAGCATTTTGTCTCTGTTGTACTCCTTTGTTCTCAGCATTCTGACCTCTGCTCAAAAAGGCTGACCTCTGAAGCAGTAGGTTGTCACATACAGTGCTCTAACTACATCAAGACTAACCAGGTTCCCAACTAGTTAGCCAACATCCAAAAAAACCTTGGTCCATCTGAGATGGTCTGAGGCTATCCATTTCTTCCTTTTCCTCTGGGGTTTTTTTTCAACACTCATCTCTGAAGCAGTCTTTTGACAACACCACCCAAACTTTCACGGCTTTCCTCTCCTCTTGCTCCTCTCTGGTATGAAAAAAATTGCTTTGAAGTTGTTTCTATATTTTCAGAATAACCAAAATTTGCAAGCATTTCCATACCAGCAGATTGTGATTTCAGGGATGCCTTGAAGTTTTCCATCATCTTCTTCCACTTCTCAAGATCACATCCCTGTCACTGACATGCTGTGTAAGTGACTTCCTATCCAAAACTTGACTAATTTGTTTGAAGAGGCATGTATGTCTTTCTTTGAGAAGCTCCTTCATTGAATCAGTCAGTCAGTCAATATTTGTTGAGTATTGCCTATGTTCCAGGCACTCTCCTAAGGATCAGGGATACCTACTTGACATAGATGAAGTTCATGTGCTGGTCAGCGCAGATAATTCTCAGCATCTTTAGCTGTTCCTGTTTCCAAGGGATCCATCTGGCAATCTGTTCCCACATACTCCTCTGAGCCGTAGAGTTGACTCTACTCAGTACTGATTCATCCTCATTGAGAGGCTGCTCAGTGATCCATTTTCAAGTATATTCCAAAAAATTTCTTTCACTAGAGATTTTCGAATAACCTACTTTCCCCTTCAAGTAACTTACAGAAAAGAAACAAAGTTTGAACTATCTCCTCTTATTCAATAAGTACTTCACATCTCCCCAAAATATTAATAGCACCTTGCAGAGCATTCTCAGTATTACCTTTGTCTCTTAAGTGAAGAGTCACTCTTTGTGGCTCTGGGCACATTGCTGTACGCAAGGATCCTAAAGATTCATCAGTGACACTGCCCACTTGTGGCTTTCATAAACACAATCATGTATCCAGCATTGCAGGAGATGTCTATGTTTCGTGTCAGCTCATGCATACCTTTGAAAAATTATTTTAAACTAACTGCCCTGACCTGTAAACAAAACAAATTAGAAAATCCAAATACTCAGTGACAGCCTGGAATCAAAAAAAAAATTCTCTATATAGCTTGACAGTATCCAGAAGTTCTAAATAAACCAGTATTATTAGCCAGTAGTTTCAAAGATTTCTTCATTGTTCCTATCCCAGCTTCGTAGCACAAGCCATGAAGTCTTTTCAGTCTTCTTGATCAAAATTCTCCCCATCCCTCCCTCACTGGCTTTGAAGATTTCTTCAGTTTCCTCACTCATGACCATGGAGGAGAGCTGTAGATTTTGGACAGTCTTACTGTTCAGAGCACTTTGGGGGTGGCCCTGAGGGAGCGCTTCAGCTGGGGACTACAGCTAAAGAATAGGAGGAGTCTGTATGAGCGCACATGCTCCCAGAGCAGGCTGAGAGCCTCTCCTCCTCATGGGAAAGGTTTTTGAACCACAACCTTCCCAGTGGATAAATGCAGCTAGCTCAAGGAGCTAATGAATGAGCTGAGATCACAAGATTCCTAGTAGGTGATATATAGGGAATCAGGTGACCCTCAAGATAGCTACAGTAGAGGAACAGCTGGAGAGGAGAAAAACACCTCGCAGGGAATTTTTCTAGTAAAGAGGCTTCCCATGAATTCCTGTACTCTTGAAGACTATTTTCTAATTTTCTTTTTCTAGAGTTGTCTCTGTTACTTTGAGTTTTTGGATCTCCTTGAGAATCTTCTTCTTTTCCTTTGGATATATGAAGTTAAATCTCTTTGGAAAGAAAATTGAAAGAGTTATTTTCAACTTGATGAGTTAGATATAGTCTCTAAAAATTCACACTTGAATTTCACTCCAAAATATTTGGATGAAATTATGTTTTCCATCAGGAAAAGTGTTCTAGAGAGGAACCTTTATAGGAACTGTCACTGAGAAAAGATGATGTGCAACAATAATGACAATTTATTGGAAAGATTAATTACCAAGAGAAGAGAATATGTATATGTAGATAGACTTACTCATTTATGACTTGGAAAGAATCTCATGTTTTAAAGCAATAGGATTAAAATGATAAAAGAAATAACTAATGACTTCTAAAGAAACAGTTTCCACAATTTACCAGTAGTAAGAAGCAAGTCAGTTTTTTTTTAAGGCAGTCGGGGTTAAGTGACTTGCCCGAGGTCACACAGCTAGTAAGTGTCAAGTGTTTGGTTTGAGGCTGGATTTGAACTCAGGTCCTCCTGACTCCAGGGCCAGTGCTCTATCCAGTGCACCACGTAGCTGCCCTGCAAATCAGATTTTTTTGAAAATACTTAATTGCCTCCTATGTTAATTAAATGCTGTTAAAATAAGAGTTGGAGGGGAAAAAATGGGATGTTCCTGGCTTTTCTATGTGTTAAGTAATCATAGGTTGAAAGAGTTAACCTGCCCCATACAAAGGATAATGTCATAAGACTTAGTCAAGAAGCACCATGTGAAAAATCAGCTTCAATCCTTTCTGTATGTTTAGTTACATACTGAAGTAAATGGCTCAGAATAAAATTTCCCAAATAAGCAACTCCTTTCTGAGGGGCAGTCTCAGTAGCAAGGAGAATTTAAATACTGTTTTGCTTCAACTTTCTTATTTCCCACTCATTTCCCTGGTTTTTTTAACTTTATTTTTAATTTTTTCCTTAAATTCTAGAATTAATACCAAATAAAATTAGTATTTCCATATTCTTCTAAAAACAGAAAAAATGCATATGAAACTTATAATTTGATTGGTTTGGCATTAAAGCAGTGAATTACTTAAGGTAGCTTTGTTGTTTTTATTATTTTGGTGTGCCTAGCCATGGGCAGTGAACATTCCTCCAGCTATTTAAGTCATTCTTGATTTCTTTAAGGAAGACTTTACAACTGACCATCATCATTTCTTTCTTTTCTCTTCAGGCATATGGAAGCCAAAGAGGTGCTGAGCAAAGTCCAGGAGGAGCTCACCTGCTCCATCTGCATGGACTAACTCAAAGGCCCCATCATCTGTGACTGTGCCCACAGCTTTTGCCAGTGTTATCTCCTGAGGAGTTGGGAGGAGGCCTCTTTACATTTCTCTTGCCCTAAATGCAGAGAAGTCTCCCAAGATAGAGACTTTCAAATCGATTTCCATCTAGACAAAATGGCTGTCCTTACCAAACAACTCAGCCCCCACCACCTATAGAACACTGAAGGACAAGACAATTGTGAGAGACATCAGGAACCCCAGGATCTGTTCTGTGAGGATGAGCAGACCCCACTCTGTATATGCTGTATTGAGTCATAGGACCATGGAGTGCAAGCATTCTGTCAGAAGCTGTTGAGACCTACAAGATGAATAAAAAGGAGTAGTGTAAATTCCCTTAACAACATAAGAGTCACTACCAGTGGTCATCTGTGCTGCAAGACCCTAGGATTAAATCACAGAATTCTAGAGTTTAAAAAAAGATCTCATAGGTCATCTAATTCAATATATTACAAAGGTATCTCTACAAGATACTTAAGAGGCAGATTAATTAAAATAATGCTTAATTGAGGATGTCCAGTGACTGAAAAATTACTAATCCTGAGGCAGTCCATTCTACTTTGGACTAAAAAAAGGCTGATATCATAGGCAAATAAAGAGAGCATAGAAAAAAATTACCTGTCCGCTCTACGCGTAAGTGAAGAGTTCATGACCAAACAAGATAGAGACTTTCGTAAGTAAAATGAACAGTTTTGATTATACAAGAATTAAGAATTTTTACATAAAAAAACTATACAGCTAAAGTTAAAAGAGAAGCAGAAAATTGAAAAGGAAACAAAAACACCTTCAGAGCAAGTTTCTCTGATAAAAGCCTTCTTTCTTAAATATAAAGGGAATCAAGTCAGATTTCTAAGAATAAGAGCCATGCGCCAACTGATAAATGGTCAAAGGTATGAACAGGCTGCTTTTTGAAGAAGAATGACTGTCTTAAAATAGGACACCCCATGTTCGATATTTTGTGGTTGAGTAGTTGTGGTCATGTCCAGCTCTACCTGGCCCCACTTTAGGGCTATCTTGGCAAAAATACTACAGTGGTTTGTCATTTCCTTCTCCAGCTCATTTTACAGATGAGGAAACTGAGGCAAAGTTAAATGACTTGCTCAAGGTCACACAGCTAGTAAGTGTCTGAGGCTGGATTTGAACTCAGGAAGATGAGTTTTTCTGAATCCAGTTTTCCTGACTCCAGGCCCAGAACTCTATCTACTATGCCCCCTAGCTACCCTTGATGGAAATATTAATTGTTCATATGTCGTCTAAGCCAATATAAAAAAATGACAATATTACCTAAATTGATTTACTTATTCAGTGCCATGTTAATCAAACAGCCAAAAGATTACTCAGCTGAGGTAGAAAAAATAGTATCAAAATTCGTCTGGAGGAACAAAAAGATCAAGAAAAAATATCAAAGGAATTCATGAAAAAAAAAAGTAGGAAGGAAAGAGGTCTAGGAGAACCGGCTATCAAACTGTACTACAAAGCTATAATTGTCAAAATCTGTACTGGATTGATCAGTGGAACAGTTAGGGAGATAATACACAGAGGCAAACACAACAGCCTAGTGTTTGATTGAGTCAAAGATCTCAGCTGCTGGGGCAAGAACTCAGAAAACTAGAAAGCAATCTGGCATAAATTAGTTCTGAACCGGCGTCTTGCACCACATACCAAGACAAGCTCTAAGTAGGCTCATTATTGAGACATAAAGGATGATATCATAAGCAAATAAAGAGAGCGTAGAAAAAAATCACCTGTCAGCTCTCTGGATAGGTGAAGAGTTCGTGACCAAACAAGAGACAGAGAGTTACATAAGAAGTAAAATGGACAGTTTTGATTACATAATATTTAAGAATTTTTGCATAAAAAAACTATACAGCTAAAATTAGAAGAGAAGCAGAAAATTGAAAAGGAAAAAAACCTTCAGAGCAAATTGCTCTGATAAAAGCCCTCTTTCTTAAATGTAAAGGGAATTGAGTCAAATTTATAAGAATAAAAATCATTCACCAACTGATAAATGGTCGAAGATATTAATAGGCTGCTTTCAGAGGAAGAATTCCAATCTCTATCAATAGATATATGAAAAAAATATTGTAATTCACTAATAATCAGAGAAATATAAATTAAAATGTATAAATTAAAGTACCAACTCAGCAACCCATGATGTTGGCAAAGTTGGAAAAAAAAAAGATATGCTGGAGTGGCTATGGGAAAACAAATATATTAAAGCACTGTTGTTATGCAGTCATGTCTGACTCTTACTGACCCTATTTGGAGTTTTCTTGGCAAAGATTATGGAATGGTTTGCCATTTACTTCTCTGACTCATTTTACAGATGAGGAAACTGAGACAAAAAGGATTAAGTGACTTGGCCAGGGTCACATAGCTACTAAGTGTCTGAGGTTAAGTTTGAATTCAGGTCTTCCTGACTCCAGACCCAGTACTGTGTCCACTGCTTCACCTAGCTGCTCCAGATCTAGTTCAATCACTGTTGGTGGAGCTATAAACCAGTCCAGCCATTCAGGGAAGAAATTTAGAATTATCCCCAAAAAGCTATTAAACTGTGTATGCCTCTTGACTCAGTGATATCATTACTTAGTGTAGAACCCAAACAGATCAGGGAGAGAGGAAAAAGACCTCAATAATATTTACAAAATATATATATATAAAAGTATTTATAACAACTCTTTTTGTGGTGACAAAGAATTGGAAACTGAAGAGATGACCATTACCACACCTGCCCATTATAGTGATGGTATATGAAAGTGGAGGAATGAAGTCAGTTCAAACTAGAACACTAGTTTTGAAATTTCAAATTTGTTTCACCTTGCATGATATGTAAGGGAATATTTTGAGTATAACTAGAATTTCAAGTTTGCTTCTGCATAGTTTCTTCTAAGAAAAATATCAAGACAACTCAGAAAACTGCGCCGCTTAATAATTACTTACAAGCAGAAACCACTTCCACAAGCAAATTTCAGGTCTTTGTCAAGGTAAAGTGCCATAATTATTGTCTGAGCTGAAGAGGGCTCCACCCCCACCCTCCTGCCGTGGCCTTTGCCCCAGTCCCGGAGTGGGGGCTTGCCCAACTGGCTTCATCAGGCAGAGCAGCAAGCTGCCCAAGGGTGTTGCCATTCCATACGTGGTGTTTATGTATTTCGGAACTATTTAACATGTATAAAACTGTGATACCATTTTTATTATGTTCCCATCTTTTTTATGAGTCATTAATGAAGATTTTGACTTTTGTGCCCCTGACTCCTCCATTTTTCCCATAAGCTTTGTGCTTCATAGTGCTCTATTTTGCATATCATAGTGCTTTTTGGGAGTGCGTATGTCACATGTATGATAGCAGAACTGCCTGTACCTATACTTTAAGAAATGACCAAAGGGAATGTTTTGGAGGAATCTGGGAAGACTTGTACGAACTGATGTGGAGTAAAGTAAGCAGAACAGTTTTTAGGCTAATAATATTGCAAATACTAACAACCTTGAAGGTCTTTGAAGTTCTGATCAATACAATCATCATGAAATTTTCTATCCACAATGGACGGACTCGAGTGTAGATTGAAGCATGTTTTTAATTATAGATATGGCTAATGCAGGAGTTTATTTTGATTGGCTATACATATTTGTAATGGTTTTGTTTTTCTTGGGTCCTCAGTGGATAGGAGAGGGGAAAGTGGGAAGGAGAGCACGTGGAATTGAAAATAAAATAAGAATGAATTTTTTAAAAAGGAAGGCATCCTTTGCAATTTGTGTGAGTTAGGGGCAGGGGTGGGGGAAGTCCCCTGGACCTCACTCAATTTACCTACCTGTGAGATAAGGGGACTTGATGAGTGAGTATGGGGACCTTCCTTGCTGCTCCAGATCTGTGACCATCCACCTTAGAATAAAGAACCAGTAGTCCTGTTACTGACCAGTAGTGTGACCATAGACAAATTAATCACCTCTTTAATTAGTAAAAATAGAATCTCTGGGGCATTCCTTGTTCTGAGGGATTGAGAGATGGCTTCTTGCAAGGCTAGCTGGGGGATACCTTGGAAAACTGAGGAGCTGTCTAAACCAGATGCATCTAGGAAAAGAAAAAAAACATTGTGCTATATATTTTCTTGGGGAGTTGGAGTGGAATGGGGTGAGAGTGGTGAGAATGAGTTTTAAAGTAGGTGTAAAAGGGAAAAGACCTACACAATGATAACTCAGTGATAACCCTCATTCTACTAAATCCCTCAACAAATCAGTGAGACTGCTGAACACTGGGGAGGGTTAGGGACACTGGGGGGAGCAGGGAATTATAAATATTTATATAGTGCTTGCTATTTGCTAAGGCACTGCGCTAAGCTCTTTACAAATATCTTGTTTGATCCTCACAACAACTTTGAGGTAAGTGCTGTTGTTATCACTATTTTACAGTTGAAGAAACTGAGGCATACAGAGGTAAAGTGACTTGCCCATAGTCACACAGCTAGTGTCTGGGGCTGGATTTGCACTCAGGTCTTCCTGACTCCAAGCCCAGCACTCTATGCATTATGGTGCTACCTAGCTGCCCCTACCAAGCATCAAAGAGTCAAACAGATCATCAGAAACTCAGAAGAAAGAGTGGTCATCATGGATTGTGAGGAATCAGGGAAGACTTCATGGAGAAGGTGGGCTTTGAGCCAGACAAGATCTACGTGAAAAGAGAAAAGGGAGAACAGAGGGAGAGTAATTCTGGGAAAGAGGGAAGGCAGGCAGGCAAGAATGGTCAAATATATTGGGGGAACAGTAGAGGTTCAGTCTTGATCATTGGATCAGAGACCTAAAAATTGAAGGAAACTTGGAGATCCTCTAGGCCAAACCTGTCCTTTGGCAGATGGGGAAACTGAGGCAGTTTATGTTCCACTAGGCCAAAGTCAGAGTGACCAGAGTAGGTGCCTCCTAAAACTGGAGCACCATGCAAAAGGAAGGAGTGAGAGGCCATTTGTCTTTGTACCAAGAGCCTAGCACAGTGGCTGGTATACAGTAGGCACTTAATAGATGCTTGTTGATTGACCATTATGGGATCCAATTTTCTGATAACACTCACTGGTCAGGATCCTAGTGCTTGACAATGCTATTAGTTGTTTGAAACCATGAGGTTTAGGCTAAATGATATTCAACTAATATTCATTAAACACCTCTTACAGAAGAGGCATTGTACTAGGTGCTCAGGGACAAATAAAAACACAATCCCCACTCTCAATGCCTATAATCGAACAGCAGCTCTGGTCACCATTATACCACTACTACAGTTCTATATGATCCCTGCTGTAGGTAGGCTTGCTTTCTGGTAAGGGGCATATGGCACCTTCACAAGAACCTCTAATTTAAAAAAAAAATTAACATTATACACACGTAGATAAATTAAGATGTGCTATGTGAGGTCAGAGGAAGAAATATCATTTCTGAATGGAGAGGGAAGTGAAGGCATTGAGGACGAGGTAACATTGGAGCTTGATGTTAAAGGATGGGTATCAATCCCTCCCACATTCTCTATTTCTTAAGCAAAATGGAAACCTCCAGATATTTTCCCGAGTGTCAGGGGTAGGATGAAAAGTCTCCATTCTTGCAAATAAAAGAAAAATATATTGAGTGGTTCCTGATGAGAATCTGTTGGAGACATCTCATTTCTCTA